ACAAGTGAAAACTTCTGGATGGTGATGTGTTCAATGTGTCCCAAACATAGGATCTTGCCTTCTTAAAGCACAAGTCTCCACTTAAAGCAAAATAAACAGGACTGGTAACAATCTAAACTAATGTTAGAATGTACAAATATTAAAGTTCTAGGTAATCTTATTGTGAGATCAGTCAATAGCACAAGGAGCTCAAATCTTATGTTGATGTAATTAATTCCCCCTAGTAAGTTTCCTGGAAGAAATTATAAATAGAAGAAACAAACACAACCAACAAGCTGAAAATACCCAAAGATTCTGGTGCCCATTAGTGACCTCTCTGGCTGATTCTCTTACTGTAGGTTCCTGGATGCCATGGGGGGAAGGGGAGTCATTGTAGTTCTAAAATGTCTTCCTGACACACTAATTACAGAGCCTGAAAAGACAGTCTCCAGAACATTGACATTTACTCTCAGAGAAGAGGAAAAGCCGTACAGTTGAGCCTACACTTTGGACGCAGTGACCATTCCTACAAATATCAGACCTTTGAGCTCAACAAACCCACTTATAGTTTTGTTCCCCCACCCCCACCCCAGGTTTTGAAGATAGCAATGACTTTGCTAGAGGGGATACTAAAGTGGAATTCAATCCACTTTACTCACAATCCAGATACAATCCACAACTTACGAGGAGTTTGAGAGTTTCAGAAACAAAGGTGAATGTTAATTTTGAGAATCTGGGCATGTGCGGGAATGAGAACTGCAAAGCAGAAACCTTGCAGAGTCCTCCTTAAAATGCAGTCAAGCCGAGGTCTGTAGTCACACACCAAACAGTAACTCAGCGTAGGAGCAGATCAAGTGTGTGCTCTTTCTCTCCTACACCTCACATGTGCATGTCTGTGAATTGAAACCAAGTCAGAACACTTTGCCAACATCAGTATTGTGAAAGCCTTAGTGGAATTTCCCAAGCATATTGCATGATGTTCCTGTTATTGATATAAGTTGCATCAATCATGCTCATGAAAACATGAATAATTAACAGGGGAAGATACAGTAAGGAACAAGCACTCACAATGGAAGAAAACCCCTACACCTACAGCAAGAAAAAGTCGTTTATTGGCCTTCTTTTTCTTTGAGTGTGTGTGTGTTATGTAGGCACAGAGTTGTGGGAGCCTGAGCACACGTCTCATTCTGTCCTCCTCCACCTCGTTCATTTTAGACAGGCTCTGTTGTCCACATGGAGCTAAGACAGTATCCAGTGCACTCCAGGGATCATCCTGTCTCCATCCTCCCTGGTGCTGGGGTTGCAGGACCTTGTGGCCATACCTATCCCTTTACATGGTGCTAGAGGTTTAAGCTCAGGTCCTTGTGCTTTTGCATACAACACTCTCACCTACTGAAGTCTCCCTCCAGTTAAGAAATGACTTCATTTCTTAAAGCACGCCAACCCTAAACCTTGTAGATATTTTCTCACACTCAAAACAAATATACACGTTTCCGGCTAACTAATAACCAAATTCTAACTAACCATTTAACTTATTCCCCAAATGCTTCCTTTTTTCTGTGTTTTTCACCTCTTTCTCTCAAGAAACTGAGGAGCCCTAGAATCTCAGGCAGTTTTTTGTCTTTTCTAGTTTTACAGATTCTACCTAGGTAAATCTGGGTCTGGGTCTCATTTATTCACTATGTGTCTTCTGTTTTAGGTCTGATTCAAAATTTGATTACTTCTTGCTTTCATGTAGTTTATTTCAGGCCATCTATGTTAGAAAATCCCAACTCCTATTGTCACGGATAGGAATATTTATTTCTCATAGACCAAATGTCTGGAAGCAAGCACTTCCAGTTATACCAAGGAATAAGTCTCTTGGATGGCAGCTTTGCCCACAGACCAACTCCTCTTAACAGTGGCAAGATGCTGGCATGAAGATGTTAAGTGTTGCCTGGAGACAACCAACTTGAAGCAGAAGAAAAGACCAACTCTCTTCTAGTTTCTTTTTCAAATGCAGAGGATGTTTCTTAAAGGATCCCTGAAAGGCTGCCTTTATATCTCCCTGGTTAGACATGGGCTCCGCTGATCCTCGGGGCTGAAGGGCCACCTTTTCTGTATATCATGCACAGGAGGAGGGGCAAGAAAGAATCATGGTGGGAAAGCAGAATTCAGTAGGGGTGGTTGTTTCATGGACAGAATGAACAGTAGGTTGGCAGTTGTCTCTAATATTCCCAGACTGAAACAATAAGCTCCACACTGTGCGATAGGTTCTAGAGTTTCTCCATGCCTATCCATTCCATGGACTTTCTTAAACAATTACTGTGTCATAAAACTTTGTAGTGTATCAAGAGAGTGAAATATGACGGGAATTTAAAGGAATCATTTACTGATATTTTCAACAAACTTGACTAATTAAAAGTTATGCTTACAAACCAAAGTTAACAAAAAGCAGGCATATACTATCACATTTATATAAAATTCAGCAAATGCAAAATCAATGTAATAAAACATAGCAGTTTAAATAGATTAGGGATCACATAGGAAAGAGGGGAAATATAAAGGGGCATAAGGAGGGTGAGGATGTGCTCATCACCTGGATTTTAGAAATGGTGTCTATCACATATGCATATGTGATAAATGTTTGTTGTAGCCTGAGCAAGAACGGCCCCCATAAGATACATATTTGAAGGCTTGGTCACTAGAAAGTGGCATTATTAGAAAAGTTAGAAGATGTGGCCTTGTTGGAGAATGTACGTCACTAGGCATGGACTTATGCCAAGGCCAGTGCCTCACCCTCTGAGGCTTAGAATCAGGATGGCACTCTCAGCTACTGCTCCACTGCCATGTGCTCTGCTATGCTTCCCACCTGATGACAATGAACTAAATCTCTTAATATAAGCACGTTTCAGTTAAATGCTTTCCTTGATAATAGTTGAAATGTTATGGTGTCTCTTCACAGCAATAGAACATTGACTAAGACTGAGAATGTTAACTATTCCCTAAATGAGTGGACTGAAGCATTAGGTGAACTTGGGAGAGGCTTTTGAGAGCAACAGCCAGCAGCTAGGTCACAAAATTGGTTCTACCACAACCCTTAGGCAATAGTGTTGCCAAAATAGATGTTGGACTATTGTCTGCCACCTTGCTGTACTAAGACATTAACTTTGATGTCCCCACAGAAGTTATCCCTTCCTGCATGGTGGTAAAGGTCAACTCTTTTCCTAAGCCACTTTCATGTACTGAAAAGAACAGAACAAAAGTTTAGGTAGGAAACAATTACATGAAGTCATTGCATCGACAGGTCAATGAAGGCTGGACATTCCAAGAGTGGATGGTTTGGAGACTGAAGGATTCCAGCCCAGCAGAAGCACACATGGTTAAGAAACCCCAAAGAAGGAACCTTTGGACACTTTCAGCAGAACCAAGCTCAAAGTTTTCTTTCAGAAGCTGTGTCATATATACGCTAAAGGCATCAGAAGGAGGGAATGAGGGCTTCTGGCAAACTTAGATCCCTCAGTTCCTTCCAAGGAATCAGGAGAAAGGGTAGAATATATTTTCCCAGGTACTTTGGAGGGACTGAGGTAAACTGCACAACTGACTACTGGGACAAGTCAGTTTCTGAAAAAAACAGAAGAGAGTAAGTGGTGACAGATGACACAAACCCTGAGGACCAGAGCCCTCCTGAAAGCTCTCTGCATGCACACGACTCAAGCAGGACATCTCTCCTAAGCAGACAACCAAGGTACAGAGTTCAACTTCTGATCACTGGTTTCAACAGGAAAGTTATCACTACTGTAACTATTTGTGATTCATGAGATGTCAAACAAAGCATGTATTTTCCAAACTTTGAATCTCTCTCTCCCACTGTGAAATCTCTGGTATTAAATGGGCTTGAAAGATTCAACTCAAAGGTTACTAAAAGTCCTATACGTGTGAGATATTTATTCAATGTGAATTTTTATATGGTAAGCACATCGAAAGCACCTTCTCTAGAGTTTTCAACATTTGTCAAGTATTTAAGGCATTACCACTATGTGAAATCTGATATAAGTGAAGTGTCCACGGAAGTATTTTCCAGTCACAAAATTGAAGGTTCACCCTTGTGTTCAGGCCTTGTGTTGAGCGAGGCAGGATGTACTGATGGAGGTTTTCATCTATTACACTGCTGTGAGTTTCCTTGTGTTATAAAAATGAGCTGATTCGCCCAATTCATCACTTACATGCATTTCTATGGTGTGGCTTTTTCTCATATTTAACAATGGATGTTTTAGAGACTAAACTTTTACTGGAAATTCTGCATACTTTAGACCTTTCTCTGCTGTGGAGTTAGAAGAGTCTAGCAGGTATGTATTTGCAATAGAAGGTTTTCCTATATCCATCATACTTAGAAGGCCTTGATCCTGTGTGAAATATCAGGTGTAGAAGCCTGGAGGTGTGCTAAATAATTTCGTGTACACATACACACACAGTCACACATACTAACACTCTCACACACATTAACACTCACATACTCACACTCACTCACAAACACAAACACACATACATATACACAGGCTTTTCTTTGCTGTGAAACTGCTCATGCTGAACAAATTCAATTTTGGTGACTGAAAATTATTCCACATTTGTCCAGTGTAAAAGATCTCTCTAACTTCTGGGTGTTTACACTATAGTGGACAATACAGAGCTGGCTGAGCCCTTCTGGAACTTCTCTGATACATGAGACTACAGCTTTCCACAAATGAAGGCTGGTCTTTTCCCCTTCCAAGGGTTGTCTTACTGCACTTACTGTCTCTACTGCAAACTTAACATTTTAGGTGGCCACAGCCCAGTGGGTTATCCAGGTTGGATAACCAGTTACATGTCTAACAATGTTACGAAGTTAAGCTTCAGAGGTGTGTGGATCTGTTGAAGATGCCCAGTTCACATCCTTCATCCTCCACACCAACAACAGGAACAAGTTTAGACCTCCACCATCATACCCTTGACCAAAGCTTTGGTAAACCAGTAATCCCTATTGGCATCTGTCACTGGGGTACCTGGGAAGGATTTGGAAATTGGAAGTCCCAGGGACAGCACAAGCGAGAAATTCTCTAGCATCACGTTGTGGTACAGGAGCTTCTGAGCATCATCAAGGAGACCCCACTCCTCCGCAGTGAAACGTAGGCACACATCCTCCAGGCTCACATAGCTCTCGCCTTGGTTCACAGGTGCCTCTGCCATGGGGTCAGTGCATACGTGGAGGCCTAGCCCCTCAACGGGTTCTCAACCTCAGCTGCTCTCTGGAAGAGACAAGCAAAGACGACACACTGGGTATCCACGACACTACATCTTAGGACGACACACTAAACGTAACCGATGGTCACGGAGAACTCACCTATGAGGTCACCTGTGTGGGATCACACGGCCACACGCTGCAGAAGCCACTTACCAACAGACCTCAGCCCCAACTTCCAGAATGCTGCCAAAGCCCTCGCTTTAACGGACAGTCTGTGGTGACGTCACTGGAAACCTCGCCCCACCCCTTGCTGCAGCGTGTTTCAAACCACAGAGCAGCAGCCATCTTTGCATGAAGTTTCAGGGAAGGTCGACTGCATCAAGTCATCATGGGAAGGAGACACTACAAAGCCCAGAGGTCTCAGCCTCAGGTGCAGTTGCGTCCATTCTAATTGTTATCTGAGAGGGTTGATACATATAATCATACTTATTCTGCAAGAAATATTTCATACACTGTAAATATCAGAAACTATTCACTTTTTAGAAAACTTATTGCAGTGGCTAGAACTTTTAAGATACTGTTCATTAATAGGGAAAATATGAAGTGTTTTCTATTTTTATTTCTTATTCTCATTGATTTTATAAGTTAATGGGACTTGTGTAATATTTCCATACGTACAGGAGCATTTAAAAACTCTGGCATTATTCTACTTACTATAGGTGTGTTATGCTTATGAAAATTACATTTGGGAAGATTTATTCCTTCTAAGCAAGGTCTCATTCAGTAGTCCAAACTAACCTCCAACTCATTGCAATCCTCCTGCCTCTGCCTCCTAAGTGCAGATTAATGGTGAGCCAACCACACCAAGTTAGGAAGGACTTTAAAATGATAGCTAGTTGCCTGGTACTACTGAGCAGTTTGTTGACACTAATTTAGTTGATCTTATTTTTCTCGTTTAGGCATTATTTCAGTTAAATGTCTAGAATAATGAGTCTCAGCATTTTCATTCATGTATATGTTTTTTCCCCAGGGTTTTTATTATGAAAGGATTATTTCATGTTGTCAAATGCTTTCCCTGCATCTATTCAGATGATTATATGATTTTCTCCTTGAAAAAAAATACACGCACGCACACACACACACACACACACACACTTTATTACATCTACTTAGTTGTATGTCCAGAAATCCTTGTGTCCAGGAATGAAAACAACTAGGTAATGTCATATGAAGTTCCTCATATATGCTATTAAATTTGGCTTGCAAATATTTTATTGAAGGATTTACTCTATATATTCATTTAAGAATATGGACTACAGTTTGTTGTTGGTTTTTGTTTTTATGTTTTGTTGTACCTTTATTTGATTTGGGTACTGCTAGGTTGATGGAATGAGTTTGTAAGTGTTCCTTCCATTTATGTTTTATGGACTAATTTTCACAGACTGGATGTTCTTCTGTGAAGTTAAAGGTGAGTTCATCACTTGATTATGGGTCTTCTTTGCTGAGAGATCATTATTACTTCAATGTCACTGCTCATTAAATAATCGTTTAGGTTTTCTATATCCTCTTTGTTCAATTTTGAAAAATCTCATGTTCTCAGTTTTTTTTCAAGTTTATTGGTGTGTGTGTTTTCAAGACTCCTTTGTTTCACATTGGTGGAAAGAATTCCTTAATGATCTCTGGATCCTAGAGGTGTCTGTCATAATACCTCCTTTGTCTGTAGTGTGGATCTTCACTCTTTCATTTGGTTATTATGGCTAAGAATCTTCTTAATAAGCAGCCCTCTCTTGAGAGCAAATTGCACAGTACTTACAACATAGAAAGAACAACTTTTTTAATAGCTACAACCAAACAAATTAAATACAATAAAATTCTATTTTAATTAATTTAACTAATGTAATAGAATAAAAGTTAATTAGAGACAACTGCTATACCATAAATAACCATAGGGGGAAAAGTGGTAAAAAAAAAAAGAATATAAAATGATCTATGAATTTAATTAGTTAGGTTTAAAGAAATAGTACTAAGAGGGTAGGGCTGAGGGAGAGGAGTAAGAAGGGAAAGTATAAAACCAAGATTTAAAATATCTGTTTATCAAAGAGGACAAATACATTAATACAATTAGGCAAAAATTCAAAGGAACAAAAAATTAACATGAGAAATGATAAGCCCAATACTAAAAAACAGGTTTTGTTTGTTTGTTTGTTTGTATGTTTTATGGAGCTGATCCGTTCTGAATCTTCTGGTGTTAGATCCTAACAAGTCTAGTAGGGCTATACTGGATAGCACTAGGGGAGTCAGTTATAGCTCTGAAAGAAGTTAGTTCCTGGGTCTAAGAGAATCAGGGAAGAAAATCGAGCATTAGGCTTCATAATGGAGAGCGAAAATCAAGGGACCTGACATTTTGTTTTCCTTTTTTCAGTAATCTAGCTCCCATTTAGCAGCAAGCCCATACAAGCATCTGTAAGAGAGGGGGGTTGAAAGATCTAAGCAATTCCTAGTCTTGGGACTATAGCTTTCAGTCCCATACAGCAACAAACTGTGTGTAGCAGTGACCTATCTTTGGAAGCCAAGGAATCTGACAACTACAAACTTAAAGGTCTCAGTCTCTTCAGGAATCCACAAGGGACAGGCCTCACTTCTGACAGCAAAGTTATGGGCCACCACCACTTGTTCAAAAGCTCAAGCTCTTGGCTACACAACTTTCTTGGGGCATCTATGTAAGTCTGACCCATCCCAAGTACAATAGCCAATCAGACTACTGTATCTGTGATAGGGGTCACCTGAATTGTTTTCAGGATCCCAGATAACTCAGTCTTAAGCAATAGTCCTGTCTAGTGTTTGACTATAGCATTCTGAGATACAGTGAGCAATACAACGAATTTCTTTCCAGTTCTGGCTTGATACTGAAGAAGAGTCATTGTGGAACCTAATGCTTCTACTAGGCTTAAGTCTTGTGAGAACTCCCTGGGGAGGGGGTTGGGGGGAGTTGGGGGTGTCTGTAGCTGCAATTCTATTCTATTCTATTCTATTCTATTCTATTCTATTCTATTCTATTCTATTCTATTCTATTCTATTCTATTCTATTCTATTCT